AGTGCGCCCCGCGCCGCTGCTGCAGCTCCCCCGGCTCCCGGCGCCGCTCGCTCCTCCCAGCGCCCGCCCCCTGGCTGGGCAAAGGGCGGGGGCGCCCCCTGGCCTCTCCCCCCCGCTCCAGGCAAAGTTTGCGGGAAGTTGGAGCCACCTCGCAGCCGCTCGCCGCCGCTGCTCCCTCTACCTCATGAAGGGGGTTGTGCCCGAAAGCTTCCCGAGAAGCATTTCCCCTGCTATGCCAGTTGGTTCAATCCAGGGGGTGTATAAGAGACTGGGGGCAAAGTGCCCCAAACACCTCGACTCCTAACGTGTTGGTGTGCCAGGGGAGCCACCGGGGGTCCAGTCCTCGTGGTGGCAGTGCAGACCTGGCCCCTTCCCCCGCCCCCCAGAAGTGCCCGTGCCAAGCAAAATGCCCTCGCCGGCCACACACAGGAATCCGGGTTGCCTAGCCCTGGTCTAAACAGAGCTTGCCAAGAAGAATTGCCCCTGGTATTTGAGCTGGTCTAATCAAAGATGGGATTTACCTGAAGCATCCCCCACCCGGGGAGGACAAGAAATAATGGGCACAAGCTGATTGAGGATGGCTTCAGGCTTACACATCAGGCAAAACTGGCTGGACTCACTGGTCTGTAAGGTCCCTTCCAGCCCCGAACAGCTGTGACACCTTGTCTGCGGACAGATGTCCTTAGACCAACGCGGCTACCACCCTACATCCCTGCCCCTGCGTGTGAGGGGACCTGGTTTGCCACCTGCCTGCTGCTGCTTGACGCCACTAGGGTGGCCATCATAGAGGACAGTCCGGTTGTCCTCTGCCCTCTATTGATATGAAACCAGACGCCTGTATGCCCTCTATTTTTCTCTTGAAAACCCAATGATCTCTTTCTCTTGAAGAGAAAAATAGAAGACACAAAGGCGCCCGGTTTTGTATCGATAGAGGACAGAGTAGCAGAAAACTAGAATGTCCTCTATGATGGCTACCCTAAAAGCCACTCTCAAGCCCTGGCTCCATCAGCCAGCTCCAGCAGAAGCATTGCTGTCTTCCAGCCTGCCCATCCCCATCTGGTCTGCCAGTGAAACTCCAGGTCCACCTGTGAAGATAAATCAGAAGGGGACGTGATGGGGTTGGGAGCCAGCTCATGACTCCCTGCAGCCTCCCCCATTTTCCCCCTCGCCACCATCTTCCCAGGCACCCATCTCTCTGCCCCCCTGAACCCTAGGCTCCCTCAGCCACCTCCAGCAAAACCACTCTGTCTTCCAGCCCATCCCCATCCCCTTCATGTCCTCTTCTTCCCTTTTCCCACTTGACCTTTATCGCCACTTGGCCACCAGCCTCATCTCCCCATCCCCCCTATCTCCTGCTCCCAGGCCTTCCCCCTGTTCAGCAGTACCCTTGTTGGTTATTGTACCCCTGTTGGTTATTGTTTTTACTCTGGTTGGTCTAAGGACATATGCAGACAAAGTTCTTTGGGTAGATGTGATATCTTTTATTAAATTATTATTTTATGATTGGTGTAATAATACCACCAGTACTACTTGCCCCTTCAGCCTCTTGTGGGCTCAGATCAAGCCTAGGGAATATCTGAAGTCACAAATCAAAGAGTCTGGGATAGAGAATGCTTGCCTGTAGGACCAGGGGCATCTGAACCCCAAGACCAGAGGTCTTGGGTCTGCAAGTAAGATGCCTACCAATGGATTTGGGAGTATCTGAAGTCCCAGGGTAATGGGTCTGGGATAGAGGATACTTGCAAGTTGTAGCACCATAAGTGGTGTTTGGACTGTTTGAGTTCTGCCTACTCAATCAATGTGGCTTTTGTAACAGTTGAGTTTTGCTCAATCAATCTGATTTGAAACTGATTTGACTCATTTGACCTACAATACAAAACATATTTAAAAATAAATATTTTATTAGACCAGTATTAGACTAATAAAAGATATCTACCCAAAGAACCTTTGCTGCTTGACAGGGCTCTCAGGGGCCACATGTTTCTTCACTGCCTGAGGACATCATCCCACAGAGAGACTAAGACAGAGAACTGATTTGGCTTCTTTTTTGTTTTTTAATCCCCCAAAGAAAAGCTAGTGTTCACTTCACATGGGACTTACTTGTCCTTCCCCCACATCACTCCCACCACCGTGAATCATTTTGAGGCAGGGAGCAGACGCAAGTGGGCCAAGAGCATTGGGGAGAGGAGAAGGGGTCCATTTGGAGTTATCTTGGCAAGCAAGACTGAACCCCCTAGTCTGGAAAGCCAGGAAAGCCAACTGTTAGCCTTGCTGTCTTTGCAAGCAGCTGTTTTGCACAATACATGAAGGAAGGGAAAGGAAAGAACTGCTGCAACTTCAAATTAGCAGTGCAGCAAATTCCTCATGGGAGAATCCCCTGACCCTTTGGCAAGGTCGTTCTGTAGGGCTTCTTTTCTGCAGATAGAAACAGGACACCATGTTGCAAATATGCCCACCTGGCTCCATTTTCCTTCCCCTTCAATTGTGTGGCTGACCCCCCTCCCCTTAAAGGATGGATGCTTGCTTGTCTAGACTCTGCTTGTGTTGTGTCATTAGCAGCACCCTGCTATGAATGTCAAGGGCAAATGCTTTAGGTTGGTTATTAAGCATGGATACTGGAATTATGCATATCTATTTCTTCTCCAAATCAGTTCCCAATAGTAAAGTGTGTGTATGTGCATAGACAGACAGAGACCAAACCAAGATCATATGAACAATCATAGCTAAGGGCTCCTTCCCCCAACCCACTAATGGAGACCAGATCTGGTATCCAGGAAGGCTGACAGAGAAAAATAAATAAATTCAAGCCTTGGATTAAAAAGAGAGGGATCGTCATGATGCCACTTACATTGGAGGTAGGTTTGTGAAAAAATGAGATGGGAGAAAGCACCTCAGGGAAGCAATCATTCTACTCTGGAAATCCAAGGAGCTATGACTTCAGCATCAATAATCCTTTTACCATTCTTTCTTCAAAGCTTTGGTTTTCTTTCCAATGGCCTGATCCTGGTTCCTTTAAAACTCTATACAAAAAATGCTATTGGTTCTCTATTGTATCTTAAAGACAGACGAAAAAGAACTGTCTCCTATTTCACCCCATTGTAAGACAGAGAGAATCATATGACTTGGACTTCAGACTCTTTGGGGAAGAAACTTTTCATTACAAATATATACAGTACTTACTTAGGGTAAGGTGGACTTGTATGTGATTGCTTATTTCATGATGCCATCTCAATATGTAGACTCTGCATATTTACAATCATTTCTAGATAGAAAAGGCATTTCTAACTTCTCTTCTGTTCCCCAACCTGGTATTATCAATTTTAAAAATGCTTAGGTGGAAACCAAATTATGTTAGTAAAATTAAAAGCTTTTTAAAATAGACTGTCAAGTTCCTTATATTTCTAAAGGTTCTATGCAGTAGAAATTTGTGAACTCATAAAGCAGAACTGAAGCCCATTATCCTCAGCCAGCTATTAATCTTAAAGAAATACATTGTATTGAGTCATTATTTCTATTTTAAGATGCAGTTGGAAGGGGGTGGGAAATAGGTATATGGATTTTTTTTTTAAATGGCTGGTGCCATTAAAAAGTATGTACAAGGCATTTATGTATTAGCCAATCAGATTGGCTGAATTATCTCAGTATTATATTCAGCTTGTAATAATTATTAATTAGAAGAACATGGCAAATATAATTAGAAAATGAGAGTGGAATTAAAAATTGATAAAGAACGTACTTGGGCCAAGTGAGACTCACAATTCCAAATCAAGATGATATGAACAAACATGGCTCAGGGCTCACTCCCTCCCTCCTTCCCCCACACGGCTTTGTGAAAGGGTGGAGTAAATGTCAACAGAATGCAAGCAGCCCTGGGAAATGTTACTTATTACAGGCAGAGATGGCAGCAGTTTCTGTGGTTAATATATCCCAACACTTTGCATTCAAGAACCTTTTATTTTAACTATTTGGGCAGAATGTTTTCAATCTCAAGATATTTTCTAAGTTTCAGCCAAAAAGTGGTTCAGTCATTTCATAGAGGGAAATTATAGAAAAATGAATTGCTTTGCCTCTTAAAGATGGCTTACCGTCTTTTTAACTGAGAATCTCTAAATCTCCAGACTTTGGAGCAGGGACTTGGAAACAAGTAGAGGGTCAACCTGGGATGCAGTCTTAACAATACCCATGAAAACTCATCCCAATAATGTTTATAAAACAAAACCACTCAAACCATACTTACATTTTCACAAAAGAGACTTGTTAGCACCTGACAGATAAATGCTCCAAAGATTCCACCTAAAATGTAAGTCCTACATGGAGCATATTCCATTTCTCTCTCACCTCCTGCACATAACTATGGACTGTGTATGAGCAGGGGCTACCTAAATTGCAGTTTTGTGGATTTTGCAGAAACCGTGAAAAACACCATTGTCTGCAAGCACCAGGAAATCCACCTTGGCCATGATTTCCCATGAAATCAACTAAAAAAAAAGCAGTAGTGAGGTAGACTGAATGAAGGTGACCTCTGCCAATCAGCAGTGAGGAGTGAGGCAAAGAAAGTGGTAGTGATGTAAACTTGGAGAAGGCACCCTCCTCCAATCAGTGGTGAGGGGTGGGGCTGCTGGGGCCCGTCTGCCAATCAGCAGCAAGGGGCAGGGCCGCCAAAAATGCCCACAAAAATCAGCTTTGTGTGCTTCAAACAGGCTGTGAAAAACCTGTTCTTTTGCCGCAACTTAGCTAGGTCCCTATGTATGACTGACCAAAGAATTGTGCATATTCCATCATGGGACTTCACAGGTACCACTTTACTTAAAATTGCTCTTTCTATCTATGGGAATTAGGATACAGAGGTTAGATGCAAAAGCTAGAGTCAGGTCTAAAAGAATCATGGAGGTATGATAATGGAGTGGGAGGGGATAGGAGTATATTGGAAAAATGTAGAAGACATGTTTAAATAGGTAAGAGAAGAATGGAAGAAAAACAAAGTTGGGG